TGTCCCACAACAAACAAACTCCAAAAGTGTCCACACTAATGGACTTTGTGGAGCAATCACCTGTTTTTATATTATATATATATATATATATTTTATATGAATCTAACTTTTTTAAAACTTTATTATTAATTGTTTTTACTTTTATATTATTTCCATGTTTTATCGTTTATTTATGTTATTATTTTTTTGCTCAAATAAGCCAAAGGATAACATACACTTTTAGTCAAATGTTTGAATACAGAATAAAAACATAAAGAAGTCTGCATTTGCTTTATAAGTTTCACTGTGATAATCATGTAACCAATAACCATAAATCATTTTATCCAAACCCACTGGGCAGCACAGTGGATTAGTGGTTAACATAGTTGCCTCCCAGCAAGAACCCTGGGTTCAATCCCCAGGTTGGACTTGGGGTCTTTCTGTGAGGAGTTTGCATGTTCTCCTTGTGCTTACGTGTTTTCTCCGGTTTATTTAAACCGTATGTCAACTCAAGGCCTGAGGGCCGACTCCGGCTCATGTTAACATTTTATCAAGCCTCCAGTTCACGACAGCTCGACTCTTCTCATGATGGTTACTTTGAAGCAAAGATAACAAGGTTAGTAGTCTTTGATTTTGACAAGGATAACGCAACAGAAAACATCAAACAGGACCAATCAACTTTTTGTCAATAAACTTGTCACCAAGATAAAATGTCAGGTACCAGATCTGAGTTCATGTGCAATACAGAAACAGCAAGTTGCGTACTGGAGTCAGCCTCCCCACCATCACACACATCTACACCTCCAGATGCAGGAAGAGGGTCACCTGCATCATGAAGGACCCCACTCACCCAGCACATGCACTCTTTGCCCCGCTCCCCTCAGGAAGGAGGTTGAGGAGCATTAAGTGTAGAACCACTAGACTGAGGAACAGCTTCTACCCTGAGGCTGCTAAGACTCATGAATCTCTAACTAGAATAATCACTGTGAAGAATCACTTCATGTTGCTGCTGATCTGTTTCATGTTGCTGCTGATCTGTTCCATGTTGCTGCTGATCTGTTCCATGTTGCTGCTGATCTGTTCCATGTTGCTGCTGATCTGTTCCATGT